CTAGTCTTCTCATAATAATCTCACCTTTAAATAATCCCAAAATAATCCCACTTTTGCACCTCATCTTTTTTCATTGGACCTTGACCAAGTTTTTACCTTTTTTAACAATCTTATATAAATAATCTCACCTTTCACTTTTTAATTATATCCTTATAAATGTGAGATTATTTATATAAGATTTTTAAAAAAGGTAAAAAACTTGGTCAGGGTCCAATGAAAGAAGGTGATGTGCAAATGTTGGATTATTTTGAGATTATTTAAATGTGGGATTATTATGAGAAGACCAGTGAAAGGTGTGATTATTCTTGTCAATTTTTCCTTAAATTTAATGATGTCCCTAAATAAAGCCCCTTTTTCCTTATTTCCCAAATAGATTTTAATCAATTTATCTTATTATTATCTTTTTGGAACATTCTTCTAAATCTATTACAGTATTGCTCTTGTTATTATTTTACCTATTCTTAGGTAACAATGACATAACAACTAAACAATTTGGAACAATGTCCAAATGATGTATTACACAACAAACTTTACCTCTAGGTAAAACGGACATTTCAGGAAGTCGATTGAAAATATCATTTTCTTAAATGCGTGATATTGCAATCGGGAAATTTAAGTATATACTAATGATGAATTAACTAATTAAACCTTAACCATGATGTGCATAATCACGAGAGGTTCATTTGAATTGAGCTTTATAGTGACCAATTAACTAATTAAACCTTAACCATGCTGAAATCTCACCAAGGCAAATCATGGTTTATTGTAAGGATCAAATGAGAATATCATCTTAGGAGAGAAATGAGAATGATTTTGGAGCGTTCGATTTGAGCATTGTGCATCACGTAAAACAGAAACGCGCATATATATACATATATAGGGGTTGGTTCAAGTAAAAAGTAGTCTTCCATAAAAAGTGAGAACAAATCTTGGCCTTTGATCAATTATACACAAGAGACGGTTTTAAAAAATGTGCAAATATTTATACTATAAAGCTATGTTGTAAAAACCGGACCGCCCGAGCGACCCGCCCGAGCGATTGGGTCACGGGTCAACCCGGACCCGGCGGGTCAACCCGGTCAACGCCGGGAAAACCCGGTCAACACATATATTCATACATATATACATATAAGTTTAAATTCATAAATAGAAAAATCTTAATCCTTCATAATTTAATAATGCTAATACAATATAATTCAATTAAAAAATCATTATTTTAGAGTAATTAATTTTAAGTCTTTTAACGAAATTGGACAATAAATATAGCATGGCATCAATTATAAAATCTTATAAGTATAATAGAAATATATATTCACTTATATTATTGTAAAAATATATATACTTCTTATTTAATATATACTTCTTATATAAAAAGTACTTCCTAGGTGAAAAATAAGAAGTATATATATTTTTATAATTGGAAGTATAACGTTGCGTCTGCATAATTATTTTTATTATTAATGGTTTAGTTTACAATTAATCGGTCATAGAACTTAAGAAAGTTAACTAATTGATTAATGCTTAAGTCGGAAGTATAATGGTACGTTTTACAGGTAATATTAATACTAAAATTGAAAAAGTTAACAACACGTTTCAGTTGTAGACTGGTTGAGAGGCTGTATTCCATCCCAGAGGTTGTGAGATCGAACCTTGCCAAAGTCCGGGATTTTGCTAATTTCCGAGTTTCAGTGGTTCCAGGTCCGTTCCGGTTTGGTCCGAGTCACCGATTTTTTCCGAGTTTTAACACTTTAGCGGGTTGAAGGTCAACCGGACCGGATTTGGAGTCGGGTGGGTATGTATATATGTATATATATATGTATATATATATATATATGTATATATATATATATATATATATATATATATATAGAGAGAGAGAGAGAGAGAGAGAGAGAGAGAGAGGTGATCAGGTCCAGCCGGAGGGACGGGGAGCCGCCGTCCGAACTCCGCCGTTTGGGGCGGTTCCCGGTGGAATTTTTTGATGATATTTTTTGAGCATGTTCTTCATCAGGTGTAGTTTGTTCATACCAAATTTCAGCTCAAAATTCGACCGGGAAGGTCGTCAAATGATTTTTGCAAGTTAACTGGTCCGGAAAATACATATTCCGGACCAGTTAACTTGCAAAAATCATTTGACGACCTTCCCGATAGAATTTAGAGCTGAAATTTGGTATGGACAAACTAGACTTGATGAGGAACATGCTCAAAAAATTTCATTAAAAAATTCCACCGGGAACCGCCCTAAACAGTAAAGTTCGGACGGTCCCTCCCGTCCCTCCGGAGGGACCTGATCTTTTCTGTATATATATATATATATATATATATATATATATATATATATGAGAGAGCTCTTCTCATTAGGCCGGCCTGACAGGCTGCCCCGTCCGGCCGAGCCCGTTTGGGCACCTTCCCGGTAGAATTTTTTATGAAATTTTTTGAGCATGTTCCTCATCAAGTCTAGTTTGTCCATACCAAATTTCAGCTCAAAATTCAATCGGGAAGGTTGTCAAATGATTTTTGCAAGTTAACTGGTCCAGAAAATACATATTCCGGACCAGTTAACTTGCAAAAATCATTTGACGACCTTCCCGATCGAATTTGGAGCTGAAATTTGGTATGGACAAACTAGACTTGATGAGGAACATGCTCAAAAAATTTCATTAAAAAATTCCACCGGGAACCGCCCTAAACAGTAAAGTTCGGACGGTCCCTCCCGTCCCTCCGGAGGGACCTGATCTTTTCTGTATATATATATGTATATATATATATATATATATATATATATATATATATATATATATATATGAGAGCTCTTCTCATTAGGCCGGCCTGACAGGCTGCCCCGTCCGGCCGAGCCCGTTTGGGCACCTTCCCGGTAGAATTTTTTATGAAATTTTTTGAGCATGTTCCTCATCAAGTCTAGTTTGTCCATACCAAATTTCAGCTCAAAATTCAATCGGGAAGGTTGTCAAATGATTTTTGCAAGTTAACTGGTCCAGAAAATACATATTCCGGACCAGTTAACTTGCAAAAATCATTTGACGACCTTCCCGATCGAATTTGGAGCTGAAATTTTGTATGGACAAACTAGACTTGATGAGGAACATGCTCAAAAAATTTCATTAAAAAATTCCACCGGGAAGGTGCCCAAACGGGCTCGTCCGGACAGGGCAGCCCGTCAGGCCGGCCTGACATGAACATTCCTCTATATATATATAGGGTAGGTATCCAATGCGAACACTTATTTAAAATGAGAACTGGGAACTTTCATTCCCGGCTGTTTGATCAGTAATGGACGGCTCTGATTTAGACGGTGGCATACTTGTAAATTTTATAAACTAACTCTATAAAAATATTGTTCTGGCATATTTATTACCGTTAGAAGAGAAGGGCATGCATTTACATTTCAATCATCACTCATATTTTCCAACTAACAACCATCTAAAAGCATTAAGAAAAAAAAAATTGTACAATAAAAATACTTATTAGCTCAAGTAATACATTAAATAATTCATAATGAAAATATAATCTAACATACTCCTTTACTGATAAAGAACAAAATTTCAATAAATATAATGTCTCATTTCAACTCAAAACATTAAGAAAACTAAATCTAACTGAACAACATTGCCATAACAACCCAAGTATCTTCAGACCACTTCAATTTTTCAAATCATGAATTTTGTCTCCTTGTACTTGCAAATCTCCGAATAGAAGCATCTACAATGTAAATATGATAGCATTAAAATAAATGGATTTTACAAAGTTATTATAATACAAATTAGAGTTTACCAATTATCATGTTTATTTTTTTCAGGACAATTTCGGCTATCATGATTTGACATTTGTCCACATGCTTTGCAAAGTCGTTGTCTCTTTTTTTGTTCCATAGCTATTTCTTTTCCTCCTTTGATCCATTTTCCACTTCCCTTTGTATTGGCATGCTTTGGAGGGTGAATATCTATGTGATCGGGAACACTGAATCCTGTAAAACTCTCAAATTCTTGCTCCTTAGTAGACAATGTTTTAATCTTCTCTTTCACTTGTTGTTTCAAACGTAATGAGACCATCTATTATATGCTGGAGACCATCATCAGTTTTTTAGCACATTGCACCAAATCATAAAATTGTGTCCATGCTTTGGTCACTAGTTGTGACTTAACTTTCTCTTTATTGCACCCCTCTAACAATATACCATCATTGTCAAAGATGAGTCTGCGGTTAGCAGACTTTTCCCACCGTTGTGGGATAAGTGGAGAAGGTATTTGAGGTATACATTCTGCTTTCAAAATGTTGAGAATATGACGGCCTGGATTCCTTCAAGTTGATACATCTTGCATGAACAAATTGCTTCATACGTAGAAGGGTTGTAAATAACTTCTCTTAGTGGCTTGTAACTTTGTTTATCATTATCCACCACTGTAAATATTCTGAGACAACCATCATCATGAACCCCTTTCACATTACAATGAACACAAGAATACCAAAACTCATTTTGAAAAATATAGAAGTTTCTATGTGTATAAACTTCCCTGCCATGCTTTTCCAAATCACTTTCTGTTTTTAATTGAGGGTAAGAAGATGAATCAAGATTATCCAACTCTTTCTCATTATCACGCTGGATTTCAACTGCAAAATCAAACCGCATCCAGAACTCCACTAAACCAAGCTGCGCATTAGCAAAGTTGCCAAACATAGAATTTTCGCTTTCTGATATTGAAGTTGTCCTTAGTAACCCTGCTAAGAATATGTCTCTAAAGTAAGCTGGAACCCATGAAGCTCGCAGACCGAACATAAGAGTTAACCAATCATTTTGTTGTAATCCGTAATCAGAAATAATAGATAGCCATTTTGTTTCAAATTCCGTAGAAGTTTCAGAACCCCAAACACAAGCTTTCAACCTTCCGTGAAATTCGTTATCACTATTTAGTGATCCGCCCACCTTTTTAGAAACTTTCCTCATTATATGCCAAACACAAAATCTGTGAATAGATGTATGAAAAACTTTCTCTATCGCAATTTTCATTGTAGGATCCTGATCAGTGATTATGCATATAGGTTGTTTCCCTCCCACTGCTTCTAGAAACCTCTCAAATAGCCACACAAAACTCTCAGCTTTCTCATTAGACAAGAATGCAGCTCCAAAAGTAATAGCTTGCATGTGATGGTTTAATCCAGTGAAAGGTGCGAAAATCAAGGAACACTTATTTGTGTCATATGTAGTATCAAATGACACAGCATCACCGAATAACATGTAATTTTTTCTACCAATCCCATCTGCCCAAAAAACATGTTTTCACCTGCCTTCTTCATCAATTTCATAACTATAGTAGAATGAAGGGGTTTTTCCTTCATACGTACAAAATTATTTATGAACATGTGTGCATCCGAATTCTTGAGCATGGATTTGATATCTCTGTAAAAGTTTTGTAAATCCCTGCGCATGCACCCTAAATTTTCTATTCCACCAACTTGATCTTTTAATACATTATATGCTTTAGAGTCCCCAATATTTGATAGGTGATACGACCGCAGCATACCCTTTAGGGAAGGGTTCACATTCCTTGCTGACTTTAGCATCGGTTTCTTTGACGGTGTAGCAAGTGCATGTGAATGTCCTTCATGAACTTTAAGAACAAAGTATTTTCCCTCTGAATTCCTCTTAAGAACACATAAAGCATTACAACCTTCCCTGCTAATTGCTCTTTTCTTTTTCTTTTTTTTTCTGCTTTGCTTTTCCTGTAGTCTCTTGAGTAGAATCAAGATGAGACAATTCTAGTTGCGTTTCCAATTCAAGGACATCTGGATCCTTTTTCTTATGCCATCCCTCTTTATAACAAAGCAGTCGTTTCAAATATGTAAACCCGTTTTTCTTTTTTTCAGTCCCAAGACGCACACTAAATCCAACACAATGAGCATACGATTTATAAAAGTCTATTGCTTCGCCTAATGAATCGAATGACTTACCAACTGTAGGCTTCACATCATCTTCATAAGCAGGAAAAACTTCAGAACTTTTACATGCGTTTTGTTTCTCGGGTGTAGCATATACGGATGGAGAAGGGTTTACACTCTCCATTACTGCGGCCAATGTTCTAAAAGGCGCTAGGCGCTAGTCGGGCGCTAGTCCAGCGCCTAGCGCCTAGGCGGCTAGGCGGGCGCCTAGTCGGGGACTAGTCGGAGACATATAAATTGCATTTTTATCCATGTTTTTGCATAAATATGATAAATAATAGTGTATTCTTACGTGTATAAAATACATATATACACATACATATATAAATAATAATAAAATTTAGGTATACATACAAACATATATAGGTTTTATCTTAATTTACAACTTCATTTCTTTATATTCAGGGCTAAAGTTAAAATACTTATATCACTTAGAAAATTAAAATTACAAAGTAAAGTAATGTTCGGCGAATCTAGATGACCTAGGTTGCTGATTAGGCGCTCTAGGCAGGCAACTAGGCACCATAAGCGGCCGACTAATTCACCTAGACGGTAAACCGATTAGTCGGAGCGCCTAGGCGAAAATCGAGGCGCCCGACCACCGCCTAGCGCCTAGGCGGGGACTAGTCGGACGCCTAGAACGATTTTTAGAACAGAGACTGCGGCAATGAAAGATACGAGACCGAGACTGAGACTGCATGGGTTTCTAGTTAACTTTGCCGTTCACGATATGATAATAGGGTTAGTTTACAAAATTTACAAGTATGCCACCGTCTAAATCAGAGCCGTACATTACTGATCAAACAGCCGGGAATGAAAGTTCTCAGTTCTCATTTTAAATAAGTGTTCTCGATCATTGGATACCTACGCATATGTGTATATATATATATATATATATATATATATATATAAAGACTTATAAGGCTCAATCAAGGTTTGGGTATATATATATATATATATATATATATATATAAAATGTTGGTGTAACCTTGTGTTAATTATACTTGTACGTCAAGCTATAAGGCTTGTGCTATTAAGTAATATATATATCTTGTAACGGCAGTTTTCCTTGTTAACGTTTAGCCCCCGATCTACTACGCTCTACATTTCCTTCACGACTGCAGATTCTTCAACGGCAGTTTTCCTTGTTAATGTTTAGCCACCGACCAATAATCGATGGAGGGACTGGAACAATGGCTGGCTTCCAGGTGAGCGAAGGTTTCAGACATGGAAGGCTTTCTTCTCAGCTGGCCAGGCGCGGCTGTCTACAGCGCAACACCGAAGATTCACAATCAGGAAAGACTTTCCAGGACGGCGTCACCTCAGGTCGCAACTCGTGCTCGAGGCCAGGTCCGCTGCTATGGATTCCAGCCTCCCAACCAGCATCTGGAGTTTTCAGCCATAGGGGATAAATTTGGCGGCGCTCGTCGGCAATGGAGAAATCTGGCTACAACTTTCACTTACCTTTCTTTATTCAATTACACAATATATTGAGGTGAAATTTCTTTGCCATATACTGTGAATATGTGATTGTATTTTAGTGTTGTAGTTCTGCCGTTAGTGATTTAGTGGAATTTGATAAACTCAATTTTATAGTTACCATTTTCCAAGCCTTCAATATTAGTTGTCCTAATATGGGGGATTTAAGTGTTAATTTTTTTAACAGTAAGCCTAAAAGTTTTCTGGATTTATATTTTAGTAGTGTTTAGCCAAGCTTCTAGCCCTCCTTTTGATTTCGTATTGATTGTGTGTGCTATTCACTACAAAAAAACACACGTTTAGTCATGGACGGTAGTCACGGATTTGGTCCGTGACTAGTCTAGTCACGGACTAGTCACGGACTAGTCACGGAAATTTAAAAAAAAAAATAGTCACGGCTTTGACCGTGACTACGGCCGTGACTACACTTAGTCACGGTTGTGGTCCGTGACTAACATCCTCCGATTGGCCCGTTTCATTTTCCGGCCTGGCTTGTTTTACTCCGGCGACTTAGTCACGGCCATATCCGTGACTAAAACCGTGACTACGATTAAAAATTTAATTTTTATCTCCCATAACTTAATTCTCAACGGTATTATATATGTACGGACAAATTTAGTCACGGCCATGGCCGTGACTATTTCCGTGACAACTTTGATTAACACGTCATTTACACGTCATTAACACGGGTTGGACGCGTAATGGACACGGTTTTGCTTAGTGACGGACGAATCCGTGACTAAGTCCGTGACTAAATTTTCTATATATGCAAGATCGACTCATTCAACAGAACCACACCAATTCATTCTCAGTATATACAGTATCTGTTTGACATATCGAAGGATGTAGTCTATCTTCTATCATTTTCCCCGTTTATGCAGTTAAGGTATGTTATTCGAACTATTGTTTTTATTTAGAATTAGTTGGTTCAATTTAAATTATTAAAACTATTAAATTAGTGAGGTTGTTAATTAATTAACAACATATTCAACTGTAAGCGTAGTAATGTCATAAAATTAGTTAAACTGTTAGGTTTATAAAACAATTTAATTAAAATTAGTTAGCTAAACGTAGTTTTAATCGTAATGATGTTTATGTTAAGTGAAATTAGTTAGTTAAACGTACGTTAGTAATGTGTTAATTAAGTGTATTGTGAATTGTTATTGTAATTGTGTATTATTTATTAATTCAAATGACTTTATATACATGTTCAAATTATTAGGTTAATTTGGTCATATTATTTAATTTAGTGAATTGTTAATTGTGTAGTACTAATAAGATTAAATGTCATTAACGTAATAAAAAAATTAGTCACGGCTTTGACCGTGACTACGGCCGTTAGCTAAACGTAGGTTTAAACGTAGTGATGCATTAAAGGGGTGATAGCTGTTATATTTACTTGTGTTTAACATAAGTATTTATAAGTATTTGTTGAAGAAAGGAAGAGAAATCGGACAAATACATCCAGAATGAGAGCTAGAGCATAAAACATTGCGATGAACGACTTTTTAGACCAAGAGAATGACATTCTGCCCATAATTTGAGTATAACGTATTCTATAGAACTCGAAATCACTCGATTCTAGTTTCATGTGAATGCTTACTCAATAAGGTACAAATGTTATGAAGACGTCATGGCCAAAATATGAAAGGAACAAGACTCAATCAACCAACAAAGTCAGATGTTGCAGGTGGGATTTCAGGATGCATACCTCTCAGTGTTTTAGCCATAACGTTTGATTGGATGAATAAAATCACGTCATTCAAGTTTTGGTGGATAAAAGACTTCATTATCTACAACTTTGGTGAAGAAATCATGTCCAAAGTCGTAGTGGAACATCCCCAAAATCCTAGGACAAAAACCGACACTTTTTGATCAATTTCTGAAGAAGAGAAAGGAAGCGCATTTTTGGGCGCTGCAACCGGCGCCGGTCAGCCTATAACCGGCGCCGGTTGGAAGGCTTTTTCGCACTAAACGAGCCTGTTTGCGACCGGGGCCGATTCTAGACTGACCGGGGCCGGTTGGGACGATTTCAGCTCAAACAAAAGGTCGTGCAAGAGGATTTTTGATGGGAAAACTTCACCTTCCTCATCTCTTGATCAAATATTGCTCCATACCTGATTGTTGGACTCGAATAGACTAAAGATGTCATTCTTTAGCCTATATAAAGCCTTCAATTCATCAAGCAAACACATTCCATTCCATATATTAATTCTTAGCTTTTATATTTTTGTTCTTGGTATTTTCTTCAAGTTCTTGAGGAGGAAACTTCAACCTCCGAAATCATTGGTGTTTAGGTATTATTTCCTTTGTAATTTCATGTTCCATTACATTTCAAAATTGTATTGTGATTAATATGAGCATTAGAGGCTAATTTCTTAGCTAAGGCTAGGGATGAACCTCTATGCACACTAGGTGTTTGATAAAAGTTCTAAACCAATAAATTGTGATTTATCCTTTACATTTTGATTGTTTATGACTATGGTGTACAACATAGAAGTATGTTAAATTTAGTTTATGTTTGCAATTAACGTTGAAGTCTAAACTATGAACATTAAAGGATAAACATATATAGTACCGAGAATAGAAATATATCTGGTCTTATATGATACGGGTGTGATGTCTTGATATTCAACGGGGTTTTCGGTAGATGAATGTAAGCCGTAACGGGACTTACACGTAACGAAAACCACGCTCTCGCTGCCTTAACCGGAGTTGAGAATATATTAGCGACATCGTATTCATGATTATTGGGAAAGAACTATTATTAAATAACTATTAAAGCATTAAGGTGAATCCCGATTGCCTTAGTAATTCTCATTCTTGTTTAAATCAACCTCAAAGAGCAAAGTTCCTGAAAAACTATACCATTTATATCCTTTCGCATTCAATACTCGACTTTATAATATCAACCATCTCCCTGTGGATCGACCCGGTATTTACCGGTATTTGATTACTATATCGGCACTTGTATACTTGCAAGTTCAGCCCGACCAAGTTTTTGGCGCCGTTGCCGGAGAAATACGGCTTGTTGTTATAAAGTCAATCAAACAAAACCATACACACTTTACATTTCACTTGTTCTTGTTGTTAAGTTTTTCAGAAAATTCCTTGTGTTTGTATGCTCTTGAGAAGTCAAGGGTCTAAGAACCTTGAAACTCTTGACCTTGAAATCAAAAGAACGTGCAAACACATCTTCAAATACACCCGAAAGGCGAAGATGATGCCAACACTCAATGAAAGGAAGATGCCCGTGGTTGCTGTCACTCCCTCATGTATTGTCCTAAGCGAGGCGGCTAGTTGCATTGGGTTGCATTGGGTTGTGAAGTTGAGAGCTGCTCTCTCCCTCGCGTAAGAGGTTCTTCACGTCAAAACTCCAATGTCCCCTTTTTCTTCCATTAATCTGCTTCTTTGAGCTTGGATTTTGGCTGGCCTACCTCCTAAACTCCTTTGGGGTGTTAACTCTGCAACTTTTAAGCTATTTTTTGGGATTTTTGGACTGGTTTTAGCTACGAACACAGTCGGCGTTACTGTTCACGACGCAAGGTCAACGCCCCTATTTCGGTTTCCTCCTGTCCAATCTCCTCCTGATAGGTGTTATTGGGCTCCCCTAGATGTGTGGATCAAGCATATACACTCTTTTCAACCATCAAGAAGAGCCGATTTCCTGAGTTCGCTGATTGTTAACGAGTGCGAGGAAGTAGTCGACAGTGCGCAGCTTCAACACTCTTCTGCGGAACTGATGGTATTACGCAGCTTCCTAAACCTGGCCGAAGAGGAGGTAGCTCGACATTGATTTCTGCTTTACGAAGTACTGTTCATCGTCACTTTTCTTACATGGCGAGAAAGAAACAGGGGGGAGGTGAGGAATCTTCCTCCAGAATTACCAGGTCTGCAGCTAGTTTCAACGTGTTACAAGATTTGGATGATGATTTGGATGATTTCCCTATCCTGAACTCTGGGATTTTAGGAAAGAAGCAGGCAGTAGATGCGCAACAGAGAATTGGGTCAACTGGACCTGGGACTGTTGTGAAGGATATGCCAGTTCACCCTCCTGTGAATAAAAAACAAAGTGTGAAGACTATGGTAGTACCAGGGAGTTCTGTGAAGGTTGATCTGCCGAAGGTCCTTACTGGAAACATTGTGGTTCCAGTAGCTGCTGATCCTGCTGTTACCAAAGTAATTGCTGGGAATCCTGATAGTAACTTTGGGGCTATTACTATGAATGAAAACACTAAGAAGCCATGGAGTACACTCTTTAAGGATAATCGAGCCCCATCTCATGGGATCAAACTGAAATTTGTCCCTCCTAAGGGTAATTTTCTGGACCTCTCTAACAGAGTTATGCCTTCCATGGTGGACATGTGGGGGTACTGTCTTGTGGGCTGTTTCACGGGTCGCTTCCCCGGCCTAAAAGCGATCCATGAACTGAAATTCAAGTGGGGTGTAAAATGCCAAATCAGGTCACATGATAAAGGTTGGGTGATTTTTAAATTCCAAACGGATGCGGACAGAATGAAAGTACTAAATGAGGGACCTTACACCATCTTCGGCAAGCTACTCATGTTGAAGGTTTTATCGGAAGACTTCACGTTTGACGATGAAGAGTTCCTTAAAGTGCCGATTTGGGTTAAATTCCCACACCTACCGATGAAACTATGGAATAAAGATGCCATGAGTGAAGTTGCCTCTATGGTAGGGGTGCCACTTACTACCGACTTGATCACCCAAGAGAGGAGCAATCATAACTTTGCTAGGGTGCTTATTGAAGTTGATGTGTCCAAACCGCCCCCACTTTCATTTCCTATCCGATTACCTTCACATAAGGTAATCAAACAATTGGTGGTTTATGAAACTTTCCCAAATTTCTGTTTCCATTGCAAAGAATATGGGCATAACCCGTTCATTTGTAAAAAACTACATGAGAAGGAAGTGAAGGAAAAAAATGATTTTGAAGAAAAAGATGTTTATGCCGCTACATCCCAAGTGATAGTGACCAATGAAGAGAAAACTAAGGAAGTGAAGATAGGTGAGTTAAAGATGGGGGAATTAATTGAGAGTTTGGAAACTGTACTTAGGGAGGAGGAAGCCAGGACTGCAGTATCTATGACGGAACTTGATGTGCCGGATTCCCAACCGGAAAATGCTACTGCCAAACCGGCTGCTACACTTCTGCCAACTTCCATTTCAGGTGAGGAGAAATC